AAACCCCAAGTTCTGTTCATGCGTATTTCACTCCTCAAGATGAGCAGGAGGAGACTGAAGAGGCATATGGGACACATGGACAGTAGCACCGATTTTATGGGCACATATATCTTTGCAAGTTTCAAATACTTTTAGTTATTAATAATTTAATGGGTTCCGATGTCCCTAGTTTAAAATCCCAAACAGTGTTGGATTTTATTTCTCAGTTTAAACATTATCCTTGTGCTTTACCCTTTAATCTCTATTTTTCATATAGAAAAAACTCCATGTCCTCAACCACCTCATGTAGAACATGGAAGCATTAATTCATCCAGATCTTCAGAAGACGAAAGAGAAACAGAGGAACCCAAGCTATATGCGCATGGCACCACATTAAGTTATATTTGTAAGGATGGTTTCAAATTATCCAAAGAAGATGGGATAACATGCCACCAAGGAAAATGGAGTGCTCCACCACAGTGTGTAGGTGAGGACAGCATGCAAACTAAAGTTCTGTTTTGGTGCAGTTCAGTAAGATAACCCATCGTCATCATCAAAGCCATGAGAAATAACTCTTTAGATTTATCAACATAGAAAGCCATTATATGTCACTTATATATTACCATATTTTGCCAAATGATTTTTGCATAAACAAATTAAACCAATTTTTATTACTTTTATTGGCTCATTATGAAATCACTTTTAATTCGGGCATTTCTTTCCTACTAAAACTGAAAGTGTGGTGACATGAAACTGCACTCTTCATATAAGTGTACCTATTCATATCCTACATGTTCATATGGGTTGCAATGAAGGCTTTGCCATCGGGTTTTATGAAGATTCATGTTCTCTCTCCATTGTCCATTCTCATCTCTTATAGTAGAGGATACTTCTCTTAAGATGGTTCTCAGTGTGTTTCTTTTTATTGCTCATGGTTGGTTAGGGAAGTGTTAACAGTCCCATTCTTAGATGTGTTCACATTTCTCCAAGTTCCTGCTCAGGCTGACAGCTGGACACATCACCATGGTGGTCTGTCAAGCATTTGTGCGCCTTTCCTGTCATGCGATCTTAGCACCTGGGTGATCATTTTCTTTCAAATGAAAGTACCAAATATGACAACCAGGACAGGAAGTAAAGTTCGGTTAGTGAAATGTGCAGTCATTCTTTCTTTTTTCTCTTTTCTTCTTTCTTTTAGGACTCCCGTGTGGACCACCCCCTGAGGTTTCCAACGCTGTTGTAGTTGGCAGATTAAACAGTTATCCGCATGAGGCAAAATTTACGTACACCTGTGACAGCGGATTTCAGCTTCAGGGACCTCCATATGTGGAATGTTCAGGAGGAAAATGGTCGAGTCCACCAGAATGCACAAGTACAGTGTATTTCATTTTATTCTGAGGCTGATGAATATGTTTAGTTCAGAGCATCCAGGGTAAAACTATAAAACTGTAGTAGTTCTAGAAGGTATCTCTAGAAAGTTCTGGATTCCATTAGAGAATTAATAGCCCTGGTAATATTAAAACTTTGGCAACAGGGGCCAAATTATTTCGTTTGATGTCATCCGTGTTCACTTTCCATGTGTTCTGATGGGCAACCTCTGACTTCTCATCTCTTCTTGTATCACAGCTGGTCCCTGCTCACCCACCTCATCGTTATTCAATTCATTGACAGCTCATCAGTTTTTTCCTCATAAATCCATAATGTTCTAAGATGGTTGATGTAGCCAGGCCCACATGTGTCGCCGGTTGAGCATATAACTATGAACGAGTAGGTGACAGTTCAATTCCCAGTCATAGCACACACAAGATTGCAGGATCTAATCCCCAGTAGCGGGCATGCTGGAGGCAGCCCATCAATGATTCTCTCTCATCATTGATGTTTCTATCTCTCCTTTCCACTCTGAAATCAATAAAAACATAGTTGTTTTAAGATGTTTGATGTAACTATGGGAAACCAATTTAAACAGAAGCAAGAAATGTAATATGTACATAGTGTCTGTGGTCCGTGTGGACAAATAAGAATTTGGATGTAAGAAGTTTGGTCTGGATCATGACCTGTATACCCATCTCCTCAGGCTTTCAATTCCACCATCCCCACGTGACACCTTGAATAAATGTACAATTATTCAATGTAATTGAGTCAAATCTGCTTGAATTTTCAAGTTATAAGAAAAACATTGTACAGTAGGCATTGGTTTTGTGTGTATCTATTATTCTAAAGTAAAATTATTGGACAACATGTTAAAGATTTACTGAAAAGTCTATGTTCTTGCCTTTTCAGCAATGACTTGTCCTAGCCCACCCAGCTATGTTCTGGTGAGGCCACATGAAGGAAGGTTTATGCCTCAACGTAGAGGAACGGGATGTGCACTGAGTGCTGGGCATTGGGGCCCCAGAGCCCTCAGAGTGTGACCCGGAAACAGCCGTGTCAGCGTCTCTGGGGAATCGGTAGGAAGGCAAATGCAGACTCACAGGCTCACTCAGACTCAGCATCAGAGGCTCAGGGGTTGTGACCCTGAAACCGTTGTAGCAATTCCCAGCGGGCTCTGCGCCCACTTTTGTGGAGAACCGTCTCTTCAGCCTCCTATTACTTTACTAGAGGCCAGTGCACGAAATTCATGCACTGGTTGGGTTCCTAGGGGCTGCCGGCTGCCAAACAGGTCTTCCCTCCCTTTCCCCGCCACCGGCCACGGCCTGCTGCCACTGCCGCTACTAACCAGGGCCTCCCTCCCTTTTCCCAGCTACCAGCCAACACTGCCTGCCAGGGCCTCTATCCCTTCCCCCACCTGGCCTGACCCCTGGTCAAGCTCCTGGAAGAATTTGGGTCGAGGGGACAGTTTGCATACTACACTTTTATTATATAGGATATCCACCCAAGTCTCCCCAATGAACTGCACAGTGCTCACTGCAGTGTCCTTAAGAACTCACATTATTGGAGTATTTCTGAAATAGTAAATATATTTTACTCTTATTTTTCTTTAATTTCTGTGTGGATCTTTTGATTTTTAATCTTTATTGTTGAAAGTATTACAAAAGTCCACTTTTCTTCCCATTGACCCCTTCTAGCCTGGCCTTGGCCCGCACCCCAGTCTTTCACCCCCCTGTTGTCCTTGTCCATGGGTTATGCACGAATCTATACAAGGTCTTTGGTTGTCTCTTCCCACACCCCTACCTACCATATGATATCCCTCAATGTAATATCTACACAGTGTCTGTACCTGTGTGGACAAATAAGAATTTGGATATAAGAAGTTTGGTCTTGATCATGACCTGTATGCCCATCTCGTCAGGCTTTCAATACCATCATAGTACATTTGTCCAACCATATGATATGCCTCAAAACCTGTTAATTCTTGACTTCCTGTCTCCGAAAGTGGCTACTGTCACTTATCTCCTAAAGGCCTAAAATAAACATTCAACAACATGATGTTTGTGAAACACATTTTGATGCCAAATGAGGGGTTGATTATGAGGACTGAGGGTTTACAAATTCATTGTGAATTTATATAATTGATGTTTGGTTTACTAAACTTCAAGGAAAATGTTCAGAAAAACTATCTTTTTCTCTTTATTTCTATTACGTATTAAAACTCTTTTCTTGAAGTTATTGGGGTGGCATTGGTTAGAAACTGGTGCTGGAAAAATTTCTCCCAGCACGATCATTTTGGATATATCTCCTCGAGCAAGGGAAACAAAAGAAAAAATTAACAAATAGGACTACGTGAAACTAAAAAGTTTTGCACAGCATAATCATCATTTTCATTGACCTAAAAATCTCTATTAACCTTAGAGAGAGGATGGGAATTAAATTTAAGAAATAAAAGTATAACACTAACCCCGAAAATTGGTTTATCTATTTTCAATCTAGCATGTAAATCTGTGAAGATTATCAACATCTATTGTGTCTAAATGATCGCTGCATTGTGCAAAATGCCTTTATACCAAACCAGAAGCCTAGGTATCAACATGGGGACATAGCGCATTATCAGTGCAGGCACCCTTTGGGCCTCCTTGGGAAAGCAGTGGTGATATGCTTAAGTGGGAAGTGGACAGACCCACCTGAGTGCAAGGGTGACTGTCTCATTCTCCCCTCCCAGTCTCTGTGCAGCTTCTGTAAGCACTTGGTTACTAGACTCCTGTCCAGCTGGCCTTCATTGGTTACTCAGGTTTGTTGCTCTATCCTTTCCTGTAAATCGGTTTAGGCCGGGAGGAGGTGAGTGTAGCTCCCACCTACTCCGCAGCTCCCTTAAAATCAACTGCTCACTCAATAAACCAACAATATCCTCTCTTAGAGCCCACAGGACAATGTGGGCCCCCTCCCGCTATTGACAATGGAGACATTACCACGGACCCATTAGCAGTCTACGCTCCCGGGTCCTCAGTGGAGTATCAATGCCAGGCCTTCTATGAACTTGAGGGAAACAGGAGAATAACGTGCCGTGATGGACAGTGGTCTGAGCCACCCAAATGCTTAGGTAAGTCCTTTAATATTCCGGTGGACTCTGAGTAAAATCAGTGTAATGCAGAGGTTTTACTGGTTATGATCACATGTTAATGAATTAATAAACAATTCTAGCCATATCAGGTTCAGTTCAGTGGAAGAGCTTCGGTCTGAGGTCTGAAGGGCTCCAGATTTGATTCTGGTCAAGGGCACATGCCCAGGTTGCAGGCTCCATCTCCAGTGGAGGCGTTCAGATGGCAGCCAATCAATGATTCGCTCTCATCATTGATGTTTCTATCTCTCTCCCTCTTCCTTTCTCTTTAAAATCATAAAAATATATTTTTTTTTAAAAAAAAAAAGAAAGAAATAGTTGTAGCTCTGGCTAGTGTGGCTCAGGTACCAAGAAATCACTGGTTTGATTCCAGTAAGGGCACATGCTAGGGTTGTGAGCTTAATCCCCAGTAGGAGACATGCAGGAGGCAGCAAATCAATGTCTCTCTCTCTCTCTCTCTCTCTCTCTCTCTCTCTCTCTCTCTCTCTCCTCTCTATCTAAAAATCAATACAAATTTTTTACCTTATCATATAGAAGCTTACCTCTTACCAAAAAAATTTGCTTGGTCTTCTTTTTTCAATCATGCCTGTAAATTTATGAAGATTTTCCATCTTAATTGCATCTAAATGATCGCTGCATGAGAGATCCATCGTTTTCTCTTTATTCAGGTCTCCCCTGTGTCAGCCCTCCTTCAGTGCAAAATGCCTTTATACCAAACCAGAAGCCTAACTATGGACATGGGGACACAGCACGTTATGAATGCAGGAACCGTTTGGGCCTTGTTGGGAATGCAGAAGTGACATGTTTAAGAGGGAGGTGGACAGCCCCACCGGAGTGCAAGGGTAGGTGTCTCATTCTCCCCTCCCAGTCTCTGTGCAGCTTCTGTAAGCACTTGGTTACTAGACTCCTGTGCAGCTGGCCTTCATTGGTTACTCAGGTTTGTTGCTCTATCATTTCCTATAAATCGGTTTAGGCCGGGAGGCGGTGAGTGTAGCTCTCACCTACTCCGCAGCTCCCTTAAAATCAACTGCATGCTTAGGTAAGTCCTTTAATATTCCGGTGGACTCTGAGTAAAATCAGTGTAATGCAGAGGTTTTACTGGTTATGATCACATGTTGATGAATTAATGACCAATGCTAGCCCTATCAGCTCAGTGGAAGAGCTTCGGTCTGAGGTCTGAAGGGCTCCAGATTTGATTCTGGTCACGGGCACATGCCCAGGTTGCAGGCTCCATCTCCCGTGGAGGCGTGCAGGTGGCAGCCAATCAATGATTCGCTCCCATCATTGATGTTTCTATCTCTCTCCCTCTTCCTTTCTCTCTAAAATCATAAAAAATATTTTTTTTAAAAAAAAGAAAGAAATAGTTGTAGCCCTGGCTAGTGTGGCTCAGTTGATTGGGTGTCATCCCAGGTACCAAGAAATTGCTGGTTTGATTCCAGTGAGGGCACATGCTGGGATTGTGGGCTTAATCCCCAGTAGGAGACATGGGGGGGGGCGCCAATCGATCTCTCTCTCTTCTCTCTTTCTCTCTCTCTCTCTCTCTCTCTCCCCCTCTCTATCTAAAAATCAATTAAAAAAATTTAACTTAAGATATAGAAGCTCGCCGAAACCGGTTTGGCTCAGTGGATAGAGCGTCGGCCTGCGGACTGAAAGGTCCCAGGTTCGATTCCGGTCAAGGGCATGTACCAGGGTTGCAGGCGCGTCCCCAGTAGGAGATGTGCAGGAGGCAGCTAATCGATGTTTCTCTCTCTTCAGTGTTTCTAGCTCTCTATCTCTCTCCCTTCCTCTCTGTAAAAAATCAATAAAATAAAATAAAAAAGATATAGAAACTTAACTCTTACCAAATTGCTTAATCTTCTTTTTTCAATCGTGCGTGTAAATTTATGAAGATTTTTTGTCCCAATTGCATCTAAATGATCTCTGCATTAGAGATCCATTGTTTTCTCTTCATTCAGGTCTCCCCTGTGGCAGCCCTCCCCCAGTGCAAAATGGCTTCATACCAAACCAGAAACCTAACTATGGACATGGGGACACAGCACGTTATGAATGCAGGCACCCTTTGGGCCTCATCGGGAAAGCAGAAGTGACATGTCTAAGTGGGAAGTGGACAGACCCACCTGAGTGCACGGGTAGGTGTCTCATTCTCCCCTCCCAGGCTCTGTGCAGCTTCTGTAACCACTCAGTTACTAGACTCCTGTGCAGCTGGCCTTCATTTGGTTACTCAGGTTTGTTGCTCTATCGTTTCCTGTAAATCGGTTTGGGGCCGGGAGGAGGTGAGTGTAGCTCCCACCTACTCCGCAGCTACCTACATTCAGTAAGTCAAATATTATCCTCTCTTAGAGTCTAAAGGACAATGTGGGCCCGCTCCTTCTATGGAGACATTACCACATTCCCATCACCAGTCTATGCTCCCGGGATGTAGCCAGCCCCACATGGCTCAGTGGTTGATCATCGACTTATGAACTAGGAGGTGACAGTTCAAATCCCCCGTGTGGGGTGTGCTGGAAGCAGTCCATCAGTGATTCCCTCTCATTGGTGATGAGAGGGATAGTCAATTAAATATGCTTAATGTTATTATTGTAAACAGATTTGGACAGAAACAAAAAATATATGTCCATAGTGAGTGTGACCTGTGTAGACAGATAAGAGTTTGGATGTTAGAAGTTTGGTCTGGATCATGGCCTGTATGCCCACCTCCTCAGGCTTTCAATTCCACCATCCCCGGTGACACTTTTGATAAATACAAAATTATTCAGTGTAATTGAGTCAAGACTGCTTGAATTTTCAAGTTATAAGGAAAACATTGTACAATAGGCATTAGGTTGGTGTGTATCTCCAATTCTCAAATATAATTATTTGCCAACATGTACTTTTAAAGATTTACTGAAAAGTCTATGTTGTTGCTTTTTCAGTAATGACTTGCCCTAGCCCACCCAGATATGACAACGCCATCCTCATGGCCCGGAAGAAAAACTCATACAAGTCAGGAGAACAAGTGACTTATCGATGTCCAAAATATTACCAAATGGAAGGATCCCATGTTGTACAGTGTATGAATGGCAGAAGAGGAGGGTGCCAGTGTGGTCAGGTGCGGACCCTCTTCTGGATTGTGAACTGGTAGAAGAAGGCCAAAGGATTTCTCTAGGGTATCTTTTATAAGAGGGCTAATTTCATTCATGAGGGCTCCACCCTCCTGACCTAAGCACCTCCTAAAGATCCTGCTTCTTAATACCTTCACATTGGGCATTAGCATTTCAACATATGAATCTGGGGGATATTCAGACCATAATGACATGGGTAGCTGGAACCCAGCCCTTTTATTTTTAATCTTTATTGTTGAAAGTATTCCAAAAGTCCACTTTTCTACCCATTTACCCCTTCTAGCCTGGCCCTGGCCCCTCCCCAGTCTTTCAACCCTCTGTTGTCTGTGTCCATGGGTTATGCCTGAATGCATACAAGATCTTTGGTTGTCTCTTCCTCTCCTTTCCACCCCTCCATCCCTCTGAGATTCCACAGTCTGTTGCTGTTTGGATCTTTTAAACGATGATCTTTTCCTTCAATTAAATGATATCCCTCAAAGCCTGTTAATTCTTGACTTCCTGTCTAAGAAAGAGGCTATTATCGCTTATAATCTAAAGGCCTAAAATAAACATTCAAAAACATGATGTTTGAGAAACACATTTTGATGACAAAAAAGGTATTTATGATGAATATCTAGGGTTTAGAAATTCATTTTGAATTTATATAATTCATGTTTGGATTATTAAACTCAAAGAAAAATATTCAGAAAAACTATCATTTTCTTTTTTCAATCACTTTAAAAAATTCATTTTAATTTTTATTGAATTTATTGGGATGGCATTGGTTAATAAATACTGCTGGGAAAATTGGACAGACACAAGCAAAAAAAAAAAATGAAATTGGACCACCTTCTTATACCAAAGACAAGAATAAACTCAAAATGGATTAAAGACTTAACTATAAGGTGTGAAACCATAAAAATCCTAGAAGAAATCATAGGCAATCAAATCTCAGACATTACTCCCAGCACGATCTTTTCTGATATATCTCCTGGAGCAAGGGAAACAAAAGAAAAAATTAAGTAAGTCTACGTGAAACTAAAAAGTTTTGCACAGCATAATCATCATTTTCATTAACCTTAGAGAGAGGACGGGAAATAAATTTAAGATATAGATGTTGAACACTTACCAAAAAATTGCTTTATCTTTGTCAATCTTGCATGTAAATTTGTGAAGACTTTCAAGCTCAATTGAGTCTAAATGATCGCTACCTTAGAGATCCATTATTTTTTCTCTTTATTCAGATGTCTCCTGTGGCAGCCCTCCCTCAGTGCAAAATGCCTTTATACCAAACCAGAAGCCTAGGTATCGTAATGGGGACACAGCACGTTATGAATGCAGACAGCCTTTGGGCCTCTTCGGGAATCCAGTGGTGACATGTCTAAGTGGGAAGTGGACAGACCCACCTGAGTGCAAGGGTAGGTGTCTCATTCTCCCCTCCCAGTCTCTGTGCAGCTTCTGTAAGCACTTGGTTACTAGACTCCTGTCCAGCTGGCCTTCATTGGTTACTCAGGTTGGTTGCTCTATCATTTCCTGTAAATCGGTTTGGGGCCGGGAGGCGGTGAGTGTAGCTCCCACCTACTCCGCAGCTCCCTTAAAATCAACTACTCACTCAATAAACCAACAATATCCTCTCTTAGAGTCCGCAGGACAATGTAAGCCCCCTCCTGCTATTGACAATGGAGACATTACCACGTACCCATTAGCAGTCTACACTCCCGGGTCTTCAGTGGAATATCAATGCCAGGCCTTCTATGAACTTGAGGGAAACAGGAGAATAACGTGCCGTGATGGACAGTGGTCTGAGCCACCCAAATGCTTAGGTAAGTCCTTTAATTTCCTCGTGGACCCTGGGAAATCCGTGTAATGAATGCTATGTTTGCTGTTTACAACAGAGTGCTCTGTGTGGCCAAATAAGAATTTGGATGTAAGAAGTTTGGTCTGGATCATGACCTGTATGCCCATCTCCCCAGGCTTTCAATTCCACCGTCCCCACGTGACACCTTTAATAAATGTAAAATTATTCAATGTAATTGAGTCAAGATGGTGAACAACTTTTAAGAAAAACATTTTTTATAACATTTTCAAGTTATAAGGAAGACATTGTACAGTAGGCTTTAGTTTGGTGTGTGTCTATTATTCTAGAGGATAATTATTGGCCGACATGTTAAAGATTTACTGAAAAGTCTATGTTCTTGCCTTTTCAGCAATGACGTGTCCTAGCCCACCCAGCTATGACAACGCCATCCTCGTGGGCCAGCCGAAGAACTCATACAAGTCAGGAGAACACGTGACTTATAAATTTACAGAAAAATGCAAAATGGAAGGATCCAGTGTTGTACAGTGTATGAATGGCAGGTGGATAGGAACACCCACATGCAAAGGTATTTTGGTGAATGGCTTCTCCCATCATTAGAAAATAGACGCAGGTTCTGGTGAGGCCAGATGAAGGAAGGTTTATGCCTCAGCAGAGAGGAACGGGATGTGCACTGAGTGCTGGGCATTGGGGCCCCAGAGCCCTCAGAGTGTGACCCGGAAACAGCCGTGTCAGCGTCTCTGGGGAATCGGTAGGAAGGCAAATGCAGACTCACAGGCTCACTCAGACTCAGCATCAGAAGCTCAGGGGTTGTGACCTTGAAACCGTTGTAGCAATTCCCAGTGGGCTCTACGCCCACTTTTGTGGGGAACCGTAGCTTCAGCCTCTCATTACTTTGTATCCACCCGAGTCTCCCCAATGACCTGCACAGCGCTCACTGCAGTGCCCGTAAGCACTCAAGTTATTGAAGTGTATTTTGATGAAATTATAATTCATTGTTCTATTTTCCATAATTTCATTTTGGATGTTTTCTTAAACTTTATTGTTGAAAGTATTACAGAAGTCCACTTTTCCCCCCATTTCCCCTTCTAGCCTAGCCCTGGCCCCTGACCCAGTCCTTCACCCGCCTATAGTCTGTGCCCATGGGTTATGCATGAATGCATACAGAGTTTTCGTTTATTCTCTTTCCACCCACCCATCCTCCCTCCCCTCTCTCTGAGATTCCACAGTCTGTTTCTGTTTGGATCTTTTAAGTGATCATTTTGTTCCTTCAACCAACCATATGATATCCCTCAAAGCCCGGTAATTCTTAACTTACTTTCTAAGAAAGTGGCTACTACACTTACTTTTTAAATGCCTACATTCAAAATTCAAAGACATGATGTTTGCAAACCACTTTATGAAGCCAAATAATGTATGTATTATGAGTTTCTAGGGTCTAGAAATTCATTTTAAATTTATATCATTTATGCTTGGTTTACTACATTTAAAGGAAAATGTTCAGAAAAACCATCACTTTCTTTCCATTCTATGACTTTTTAAAAAATAAAATTTATTGAATTTATTGGGGTGACTTTGGTCCAGAAATGGTGTTGGGGAAATTGGACAAATACAAGCAAAAAAAAAAATGCAATTGGACCACCACCTTACACCGAAAAATACACATTGCTCATTGCAGTGGTTAAAGTCTTACATGTAAAGTTTGAAATCATAAGAATCCTAGAAGAAATCGTAGGCAGTCAAATCTCAGACATTGCACATAGCAATATACTTGCTGATATATCTCCCCGAGCAATGGAAACGAAAGAAAAAGTAAACAAATAGAACTATGTCAAAATAAAAAGTTTCACACAGCATAATCATCATTTTCATTGGCCTAATTATGTCCATTAACCTTCAAGAGAGGATGGGAAAGAACTTCAAGATATAGAAGCTTAACTCATAAAAAAAATAAAAATATTGCTTTATCTTCTCCATTCAATCCTGCATATGAATTTATGAAGCTTTTCGGTCTCAACTGAGTTGTAAACAATCACTGAATTAGAGATCCATTTTTTTTCTCTTTATTCAGATGGCTCCTGTGGCAGCCCTCCCACAGTGCAAAATGCATTCATACAAAACCGGATGCCTCGGTATCGACCTGGTGACACAGTACTGTATGAATGCACCAACTCTTTGGGCCTCTTCGGGAATCCAGTGGTGACCTGCTTAAGTGGGGAGTGGACAGACCCACCTGAGTGCAAGGGTAGGTGTCTCACTCTCCCCTCCCAGTCTCTGTGCAGCTTCTGTAAGCACTTGGTTACTAGACTCCTGTCCCGCTGGCCTTCATTGGTTACTCAGGTTTGTTGCTCTATCATTTCCAGTAAATCGGTTTGGGGCCGGGAGGAGGTGAGTGGAGCTCCCACCTACTCCACAGCTCCCTTAAAATCAACTGCTCACTCAATAAACCAACAATATCCTCTCTTAGAGTCCACAGGACTATGTGGGCCCCCTCCTGCTATTGACAATGGAGACATTACCACGTATCCATTAGCAGTCTACACTCCCGGGTCTTCAGTGGAATATCAATGCCAGGCCTTCTATGAACTTGAGGGAAACAGGAGAATAACGTGCCGTGATGGACAGTGGTCTGAGCCACCCAAATGCTTAGGTAAGTCCTTTAATTTCCAGGT